CTATCTAGTCAAAACAAATACCTCAAAAAAAAAAAAAGGGGATCTCAGCCGGGTTCTGCGCTTCGAAGCTGGCCGGAGCTCTGCTGGAGAAAACGCCAGCTGGGGGAGCTCGGGCCACGGAGCAGCTCCCCAAGTCTGCCCGACCTCGGCAGAAACCGGACGGAACGGAGAAGAATTCGGGACGGAGAGGACGGGCCAGAGGAGCGTCCACGGGTGTTAGTAACGCCGCCATCTACCCACCGCCTTTCAATCCTGCAGCAAGCGAGTGAGATGTCAAGAAAGCCACGGTGAAATCGGGGTGCACAGATTCGCACCGATTGGACAGGCACACATTGACAGGCCGCCTGGCTGTGTCTCAAATGGACCAACAATTAGCCGACACACCACCACGACGAGAAGCCCTGGGACATCCGGTGGTGCGCAGTCCTCCACACCAACTGTCGTCATGTACTACGAACCTTCTTGACTCACTCGGCTGAATAGAGACACGCCGACCTGCACTGCAGACGCACACATTGAAGCTGATAGGCTTGGACGGTTACACAAGAGCAACGGCAGACTGATATCGGGAAGGCCTGTCCGCCTTGGCGGTAGGGCGCGTGTGCGGTCGCGTGCTCGCAACTAAATTACGAGTCTAGACCGGCAGCGTGGGAAGAATCCGGGGAAGGCATGTTGTTGTGCGGCAGTTGATCAATACTTACGTTCCACGGACACCGTCTGTCAACGACACTACTACAAGGTAGGCAAAGAGCAGACTGGGTCCAGGAACATGAACGCCAAAGTATGCAAATCCCAGCAGCAGCAGCAGTGACACGATGGGATGCTGAGAAATGTGGTCACAAATCCGGCTGCTTACAAAACAATTGAGCATCTCCAACGGGATGAGGTAACGACGGCTGGGCGGGAGACGGAGGGTGTGAGACGGGGCGAGGACAGTGCCAGAAATCCCAGCGCGCTTGTTCGGAAGGCAGGGATTTCATGGAATACTCCAGCCCGAAACCGTTTTCAGTGGAGCACGTCAGGACCAATACGACGCAGAGCTCTGGCGGGCACAGCAAATCTTGCCGCGTCCCGTCAGGCCCGTCCGAGCCGGCCAGACCAGATCCAGCCTTTCCCGCCCCGGCTCCCCCCAAACCAGAGGTGTACTTGTCGCGCGACGACATGCCTCTTCATAACGACGCGAGGTTCCCCAGATCTGTTGGGCGAGTTCACGCGGCAGTTGCAGATCTAGTCAAGTAATGCCTCCCGCGGCCCCGGACTTGTCACACTCGCAAAACAGCCCGGCGAGCCCACTTGCCACGCCTTTTTCGCAGAAGGACCCCTTTCAGCCCAGCACCGGCTGCTTGTCACTTCGAGGTACCGTGGCAGATTTTGACCCTCTGGCCAATCAGCGCCAGCGGCCTGATCACGAAAGGAATAGCGCGGATTGCACCATCGATGGCCCTGATGAACTCACATCGCATCGCCGTGCCATCGTCGCCTGCCACAGCCTGTCCTGGCCAGATTGCGCCATCGCTCGGCCTGCTTCACTCGCCCACGCCCCTCACAGTACCTCGCTGCGGGCACGATTCGGGCCATGTCCTGTATCAGGTTTGTACTCGATCCAGCGCCTTCTCTTCACTGCTCTCGGCCGCCCAGGGGGGGGGAGGCCCATTATTCATGCTGGAACGTTGTGTCTAAGTCTGCCTGGCCTGTGTCTGTTCTCCGTCGGGCGCGAGCCGCTCCTCCCATGGGGACCATGGCCCAATATTAGAGTAGGCGTAATTCCGGAACCAAATAGGTTGATTTGTGATTTCTCACCCCCCGTCTAATCCCATTCCTGCCTGTTCTCGTCTTGTGCGGACCCAAGCGACCGAAGTTAAAAAAGAAAAACCCCTTAAGAAGAAGCACGACTGCTGCTGGATTCTTCCTCTGTTCCATTCACCTGCGAGATCATATTGCCCAACAACCTCCCTTCATAAAATCATACACTCAGCTCTGAGCTGCCTCGCCAACACTTGCTGCTGTGCTTCCACGATCCGGGACCCAGGCCTGTGTCTTAACTCCACAAACCCCATATTCGATTTTTCAGATACTCCTCTTCTTTGTCAGAGAATCGAGGAATCAGAAGAGTAGGCATTTCGACATGGGCAACTTCTCCCACTCAGACTCCTCCTCCTCCTCCCTGTCCTCCCTGGGGACCTCGCCTCGCTTGAGCGCCCTCGACACAAAATCCGACACACAATCATCATCATCATCATCATCTACCGAGGACATCGAATCCGGCTACGCATCCGCAACGTCATCCACAATGACGCTGCCCGCCGTGTCCTTCTCCCCCTACCACCTGAAGTGGCTGAACAGCCAGCTGGAGAGCATGCACCCCATGGACATCCTACGCTTCGTCAAGGTTCTCTTCCCCAACCTTTACCAATCAACGGCATTCGGCCTCACGGGGCTCGTCACACTGGACATGCTGTCCAAGCTGCAAAAGGAGAACCCCAACTCCCAGAATGTCGACATGATCTTCCTCGACACCCTGTACCACTTCAAGGAGACGCACGAACTCATAGACCGGGTGCGAGCAAGATACCCCAACGTCAAGCTCCACATCTTCAAGCCCGACGGATGCGACACCGTGCAGGACTTCGAGGCCACGTACGGCGAGAAGCTGTGGGAGGTCGCGTCCGAGCTGTACGACTGGTACGCCAAGGTGGAGCCGCAGCAGCGCTCATACACGGAGCTCAACGTCGCCGCCACCCTCACGGGCCGGAGGCGGTCGCAGGGCGGACAGCGCGACCAGATCCCCGTGATCGAGATCGACGACGAGAGAGGCGTTGTCAAGATCAACCCCATGGTGAACTGGAGCTTCGACCAGGTGCAGCAATACATCAAGGAGAACGACGTGCCCTACAACGCGCTCCTCGACCAGGGGTACAAGTCCGTCGGCGACTGGCACTCGACCTCGCCCGTCAAGGCGGGCGAGGATGAGCGGGCCGGCCGATGGAAGGGCCAGAACAAGACCGAGTGCGGCATCCACAACAAGAAGTCCCGCTACACCGAGTACCTCGAGGAGCTGGAGCGCAAGCGCAAGGAGGAGGCGCTGGCCCAGGCTTTCCAGGAGAATACGGAGCGGCAGACTGCAGTCTCGCCCGCCGTCCAAGTCTCATCGTAGCTTGACCCCCGGGCACACCTTCGTCTGAATGGGTGTATCTCTCGCCCAGACAACGACTTTGATGATGAATTTCAACGAGCATAGCACTGGCTTTCTTTGTTTTGTGCGGTGGTATCCTCGCGCCGCAGGGCAACCGCGTTTAGGAGTCTCGGGGGGGGGAGGGTTTCGGGATGGTCCATACATGGTCTGGCGTTTGGTGCATAATTGTTGATTCCCATGCCATGCCTTCTCTCATAGCACATCGTCCCGAGATGGATGGCTCATAGAAATATTTATAGAGCAGTCAAGAAGAACAGACAAAAGCAAAAAATTATCTTTTTACCTACCAAAGAGTGCGCCCCATCGCGCCATCAAGTGAGTTTCTGTGACTCAACACCATGGGAGTGGACAGGCAGCCTAGCCGTCCATACACCTCGGCCTCACACCACCCGGCCGCCCGCCCGCTGGAGGGGGACTCCAGTCACGCACACACGTCCCCATCCGACTAGAAACCCTAGGGTTGGGTAGTGCGTGCTCACTCTTGTGTCAAATGTCGCCATCGAACTAGGGGGCGGATGGCTCGGTCGGTCGATGTCGTGATGCCGGGGGTTGGTCGAGCGATGGCCCTCTGGCGGTCCTTTACCGGGTGGCGGGAAGAAAAAGAGAGGACGTCGGCGGTGGAGACAGCTTCCCGGCGGCAAGCGGACGGGTCTCGGGGAGCCCACATGTGCTGTTCGCAGAGCCGCACCGATCGGCTGCACGGCTATCGGGGGAAAAGATGCATAACTTGGTGTGGATTGCGCCATTGGGGTGTGTGCCTGTGCCTGCGCCTGCGGTTTGACGGGTGGTACCACCCAGTCTGCCAGTGCCACCCACACAAAACCTCAGCCTGCCTCGTTCCGAGCACGTGCGCGTTTTCGGGCCGCACTGTGCCAGGTGGGAGGGGGCGCGGCTGCCGCTTGGGGATAGACGCGTGGCTGACCAACACGCGCGATGGCCAGGTGCGCTACGGCTCCTACCGAGGTCTGTAGAATGAAGGGTGTAGCCGGTTGGCTGTCAAAGCGTCCGGTGTATAAGCTATTCCAACATCAAGTCCGATGACACCCACAATATTCAATCCCGCTGGCTATGTTTCTACTATCAAGATCTAGATGGAGACATATGTTAAACGGAAACGCTCATTAAGGTGTAGGCACTACACGTAGGGAGTTACCCTAGACTTCACGTAAGGAGTTACCCTAGACTTAGTGCTAGTGGCGTACGCGCCGAAAGATGAGTTTAGTGGCCGTGAGTCGATTTTTTAGGCTGTTTTAAGACCCTAACTTCATACCTCTGCATTACCCTTATTTCTTACCAAAAAAGTATGTAACCTAGTTCATTAGATAGCCTGATTTCTGAAGTTTATCTGTATTTAGTTTGGTTACTGTCAGGGTTAGGGTTGGCTGGTTATTTAAAGTCAAAGATAGTGGGTCCGAGGGCCGAATTTTCCGGCCTCCCTTTCTGCGCACCAGAGCCAACCTACGTGTGTCTGCGGGTGAGATGATGTCAGAGGGACTGTGAGGAGGGCTGACAGAAGCCCACTCAAATTCAATGCAAAGTTGTCCGAACCACTCTCAATCGTCCCAACTCGCCTCCAGGCACCCTGCTGCGACCCTGCCACACACACACACTGCTGAAGGCACTAACCTTCAGAACAAATATAATAGGTGACAAAATAGTCTTAAAAGTATAAATTCTGGTGCCTTTTAGGTAGCCAGAGGTGTATAAATACCAGGCATCAAGGGGGGCAAAGAGGTTTCGATGAGGTTCTTAAAAGTACACATCCGGGCTCCGTAGCAAGTCAAAAATGACCATTGTATACCATTTGGCAGGTGTAGCTCAGTGGTAGAGCATAAGATTGCAATGAAGACAGTCTTCAGGTCATCTTGGGGTCCCGTGTTCGAACCACGGCATCTGCTTTTTGCCCTTCGTCCCCCTTTTTGTTCAGATGAGACAGGTCTTGGGGTCCTGTGCTCGATCCACGGCCGTCCCTGTTTTGTCCTTTTTAGTGCAATGTGTTGGCAAACAGCCCACAAAAAACTATAGGTAAGGGTCTCCTTGCCTGTCTTGGCCTGATCGGAAGAGCTTCTTCCCGCGCCAAGATGCTGCACGAAAGTTTGGGAGAAACCTCCATGGACAGCATCACCGTCCATCCTATCGGATTGACCATTAAATGCGTTCATATGTGCTGTTGTAATTCCCCTACCGGAAAACCCTACCGGTGCCCACAAGTGCGATTGGGCAATCATAAACAAGTTCAGTCTTGTCAGGTCTTCGGTCTGCAGCCCATCTGTAGCAGACTCGACTCTCGTCCACACATCATAGCTTGCGACCCTACTTCCAAGAACACAAAGCGATTGAAGATAATGTGAGCTGTAAAGATGTCCTCGGAGCTTAAACAGCCAAAGTGTTTCCCGTCTCCCTGTTTCGAACACGTTTGGATATCGACGAACCCACCATGGCCACGGCCTTCCCCCCTCGGTCAGATCTTCCGAGTGCTAGCTCTACTTTCCAGATGAAGCGGCCGTTTTACCTCCGTCCGAGCTCCCCATTGGCGAACCGCAGCGCCCGCCCACCCTGTCAAACATTCAAGCTTAAATCCCCAAGCTCCGTCGATCACTAGGCTGCGGAGCAGGGAGGCCTTGTGGGTGTGATATCCAGATCGTGGGCAAGGGGTCCCGCGTGAGACGAGTCGTGTCCGCACCCCAGACTCTGCTGCACCGAGATCAGCCGGTCTAATGGGGTAGTCTAGATGCTGGTGGTGTCCAACGGCAGCTTCGCTACCCGGGCCTTGTCAAGGTTGTAGACTTCAGGCTGGAAACCTGCAGGACATGAGGGGCTGTGTTGAGGGTGTCACTAGGTTCCAGGGAGGGCTCCAGGCTAGGGGCGTTGGAGAGATACGCGGATATATATGATGTTCGAGGCCCTCTTCGTGGGCGAGGAAGGGTGTTGTATGAGCGTGATAGCTTCGTCTCTCGTCCGTCTTCTTCTTCTTCTTCTCTTCTTCTTCTTCCACAGGTCCGGTACCATTTTCCCCCAGTCGTCTTCCGCGAAGATGCGTTTCTCACAAGTATTGTCCACCGCCATCGCGGCCGGCGTTATCACCGCCGAGCCACTAGCAAACGTGCTCGCCGCAAACAACAACACGCTGAGCACCCTGAACTGTAAGATGTGATCCCGACAAGTCAACCACAGTCAAGGGAAAGATGGCTGATTCGTAAACCGTAGCTATTCTGGCCGGCATGCCGCAGTTCACACAGGCCCTGACGACAATTAGCAACATCACAATCCTTGCCCCGTCCAACGACGCCTTCGAACAGGCTATGAAGGAGATGCCAAATTTGAGAAACGATATGAACATGTTTACCGCCCTGCTGCAATACCATGTCTTGTCTGGAGTCATGATGGGAACAGCTTTTACCGAGATGCCCCAGTTTGTTAGCACTTGTCAGTATTATTCTTCTCCTTCTACAGATACCTGTCTTTTATGTTTTGGAATATTCCGGAACACATTACTTCAGGACCTATTCAGGACCAGTCGCTGGACTAACTCAATATGTAGTCATGGGAATGCCATTCTCCAGTAAGCAGCTTTTGGATGTAATCTTTACGTCTTTTAAGAACAAATATGCCCTCTCCTCAGCCTATATAACAGACATTTTACAGGCTGCAGGTTTTGAATCTAGCTGTGGCTACCTTGTGGCTTACCTCTTACTGTATCGGTATAAAGCTACTTCTTTGGTTCTTTGATGACTGACTCTTAAATGTTGTAGTGGTTACTGGCAACCAGAAGGTTGAGCTGCTGAAGATGAACAATATGGCCATGATCTTCTCTGGCTTCAAGCAGATGAGCAGTGTCACCAAGGCCGACATTGCCTTTGACGGCGGCGTGGTGCACGTCAGTAAGTGACAGTGGCAGTTTATGGGTTGCTCCTCTTGCCTATTTGGTGAAGTTTTGAAACTCCAGCTACTAACATGCTCCCAGTCGACAAGGTCCTCACCATCCCAAGTTCCCCGTCCGTGACAGCTACCAACAGTAAGCAGCTTCTAGATACAATGTTAACCCCTTCCAGACGAAACACCTCCCCTCTGTGGCCCTTTGTTTCCCCTGTTTGTATGAAACTACTCCCTTGGTGCTCTGATAACTGACTCTGAATGCTGCAAGTGGGCCTGACCTCTCTGGCTGGCGCGCTGACGAAGACCAACATGGTAATGGCCGTAGACAGCTTAACGGACGTAACAATCTTTGCGCCATCAAACCAAGCCTTTGAGAATATCGGTTCTACAGCCGAGAGCGCCTCGGTGATGGATCTGTCGACCATTCTGAGCTACCATGTCCTCCACGGCGGCGATTCGGCCATGTTCTCGACTAACCTGCTGATGGGTGGCAGCGCCATGTCTGGGACCACGATGGCCGTGCCCGGCATGGAAAATATGCCAATGCGAAGGCAGTCGATGACCAGCACGCCAATGACTTTTGCTACGCTCCAAGGTGGCAACATTAACGTCCGCAGTCAGTATCACTCATCTCCTTCTGCAAATCCCCGTCTTTCATGTTTTGGAATGTTCCAGAGCGCCTCACTTCAGGACCCGTAGCAGGACTAACGTAATACGTAGTGGAAAATGGCAAGGTCTTTGTCAATTCTGCAATGGTGACCACTGCCGACATCATCGTTGCCAACGGCGTGATCCACGTTATAGACAAGTGAGGCTTTCTCATCCCTGCCCCTCTTCAGAGGAACAACTTGCTGACTTGGTCTTTTCTTCCCTTCTTCAGCGTGCTCAACCCTATGATGGCTGGTGCCACGCCAAATCCAACTGCCACAACCCAGACACCCGCTTTCTCCGGGGCAACGCCCGTGCAGGAGGCGCCATTCACCTCTGGTGTCATGCCCACCACGACCATCACGGCGGGCGGCATGACTGGTGGTGCTGGTGTATTCGCCGCCCTGCCCACCGCTGCTATCCTGGGTGCTGTAGGAGGTGCCGCGCTGTTGGCAGGGTTGTAGATGTCCTTTTGGAGGACTGGTACCAGATAGGGCGAAGCCTTCCCTTCCCGTGTCTGTTCTGTGGGAACTTTCAACCCACGGGCAGGTTCCACGAAAAGCAAATACTTAATCGCCTGGAAGGCTGGAAGGAGCAAGTAAATCTCCCGGAAAAAATTGGTCTATATGATAATGTTAATGGCTCTTGGACACTCGAGTACTGTAGAATCACACTTGAATGATAACACTTGAGTTGACGCGGAAGCCAGACTCAGCCGTAAAGTCTGCAGAACAGACTCATTTTGCATTTAAAATGTCGAATGGTCACATCACACAGGTCATTGAGGACTGCAGACCTCTCCTCTGGGGTTGAATGTGAAACCGTGCTTTGCTTCGTTCGGCATGTCCTCGGGCTACAGGATACGGCGTGCTGTGCCCAGTTGCGCAGTGTGGACATAGAACGCAGTGGAAACAGATTTAGAGCTGGCGGTGGAATCTTTCCATTGCTGACCGTCTATCTACACAGCGCTTCCCGGATGTCGAAGCTCGCGCGACCCGTCTTCTCCCACTTCGGCACAGCCCATCTAGTAACCGTCCTTGCCCCACTTGTTGTACTTCTCGTGCAGCTCCTGTGGTTGTCACCGCGTCAGCTTCTCTCGTCTCGACATGCGGTATTACCTCCCTGTTCCACGACGACAGTGGCCCGCGCGTGGCCGCTCGCCGGGACATGCGATATTCTGGTTCGTACCTTTGGTAAGTTGACGTTGGGCACAACGACGGTGTTGACGGCGCTGGGGGCGTCCTTGGGCTCGGCGGACCTGTCGCCGCCTGGGTAGTACTGGTACTTGCCCGTGCCGCCGGTCTCCCAGGGGTTGCCGGCGTGGGGCACCTTCTGCTCGGAGGTGGAGGAGGTGGGTGAGCGTCCTGTCCGAGGTCTCTCTCAGTATTCTCTCCCTAGCTGTGTCCTCCGGCTGCTGCCGACTAGTTTCAGCGATGGCCGTCATGACGTACCAAAGTAGAGCCCAGCGCCACCGAAAGCGGCGACCATGACGGCGCCGAGGATCTGTCAATGTGTTCTGCGTCAGCTAGTGTCCAGCTCCGGGGCTGTTGCTGAACCAGCAGGCCGGGGGGACGTGTGCGTCGGCGTGGGTGCCGCATCGGCCTGGTCTCGACGCACCATAAGCTCGGGGTTTCGCTTGGTCTCCTGCTTCAGGACGTGCTCGCTCTGCAGCCGGCGGGCTGTGGTGGAGAAAGCACGGGTGGCAATTCTGGACGCCATGGCTTCTGCTGGGGGGTTGCGGTGACGGGTGATGGTGAGGGCGGGATCGGGTTGTGAACGGTCGTGGTGGAGGTTGTGGTTGCGGTCGAATGGGGAGGGTTCGTCTAACAACTTTCGACGGTGGAGGTCTCGTATGATTCGATTCGGGTGTGCAGAGAATGGAGCTGCCGGCCAGCAGGCGGGATTATGACGAACGGGGCGTGATTGGCCGGCTGGTCGCTGGGGGGCACTTTTTGCATTGGCCAATGCTCCGGCGAGGCTGACATAAGGCAGCGGCACCGTAATCTCCCTCGACAGAGCGGCTGGGCAGGCATGGTCGGAACCTAGGCCGCATGAGGCTACAGTGATATCAATCCCCCAGCGGGATTACGGCACAGCCTGTGCGGTAGGTACCCGGCTGGTAGTGCAGACACTGCAGAAGTTGCTGCAATGGCCGCATGGCCCATTGCAGGTGGGACGCAGACAGGCTGGCACCTGCAGTCTCCAGTCCCCAGTGTTCGGACTCGCAATTGCACCAGTCAGCCCTGTACTACCTACCAACCTAGGTAGGTATGTGCTGGCATTGACTGGATCAGACTGGACGGGAGGGAGGGAGGAATCCGCCGGAACCTTGAAAAAGCATCTCGGACTTTGCTCAGACTCTCTCCTCTTGCTC